ACACACACACACACAACACACACAACACACACACACAACACACACACAACACACACACATGCAACACACACACAAACAACACACACACACACGCAACACACACACATTGACACACAAGCACAACACACAACACAAAACACACACACACACACACAACACACAACACACAACACACAACACACACACACAACACACACACACACACAACACACACACATACAACACACACACACACACTTACAACACACACACACACAACACACACACAACACACATACACACAACACACACAACACACATGCACACAACACACACACACATACAACACACACAACACACACACAACACACACAACACACACACAACACACATACACACAACACACACACACACATACAACACACACACACAACACACACACAACACACACACAACACACACACATACATACAACACACACACAACACACACACAACACACACACACACAACACACACACATGCAACACACACACACACAAACAACACACACGCACAACACACACACACAACACACACACACAACACACACACACACACAACACACACACAACACACACACACAACACACACACACAACACACACACACAACACACACACACACATGCAACACACACACAAACAACACACACGCACAACACACACACACACAACACACACACACGCACACACACACACACACACACAACACACACACACACACAACACACACACAACACACATACACACAACACACACATACAACACACACACACAAAACACACACACAACACACATACACACAACACACACACATACAACACACACACAACACACACACACACAACACACACACATACATACAACACACACACACAACACACACACACACAACACACACACAACACACACACACAACACACACACACACACATGCAACACACACACACACAAACAACACACACGCACAACACACACACACACAACACACACACACACACAACACGCGCACACACACACAACACACACACACAACACACACACACACATGCAACACACACACACAAACAACACACACGCACAACACACACACAGACACAACACACACACACGCACACACACACACACACACGCAACACACACACACACAACACACACACAACACACACACACAACACGCACAACACACACACACAACACACACACAACACACACACACATACAACACACACACAGACAACACACACACAACACACACACACAACACACACACAACACACACACACATACGCACAGCACGACCAATGGCATGCTGGCAAAGAGGACAGCTCCCGCCGCGATGCTCAAGACATTCAAAGGATGAAGGGGGGATGGCTCGACCACGGGGGACGGGCAGCTGCACCAACATCTCGAGCCCAGACTCCTCTAAGATGTGGCGCCTCCGACCTTCAGGGCAAAGGCAGCTCAGGCAATGTGTGGACGGTTCGCGCTCGACCGTCAACTCCCTCCACAGCCACCGGACCCAATCCGCCAGGCTGATCAACCCGGATGTTTCAACATATGCAGCAAGGGTCCCCCAAATTGCCCTGCCAGTCGTTAGGCGCCACTTTTGGAGATCCAAAGTTGGAATTAGAGGGGCTCACTGGCTAAGGCCAGCGGCGGCGAAAAGCCAATGTCATATCCCCGCACCTTCGAGGAACCGCTCATCGATGTCTGGCCAGTCGCTCTCCTGAGGAAAGCCGCGCTGGTAGCGCACAAAGCCGACCAAGCCACACTGAAACTCACCGACGGCAATCTCAAGGCCATCACCAGAAACCAGCCCTAAAAACCACCGTGGAAGCATTTCAGTGGGTCACTATTATTCACCAACCGCTGTTCTCAGCCGACGACTACAAGCGATGTCCTCAACGTGAGGAATGCCACATAGCACAGAGCACTGCCTAAGGAAGCAATTCAGACACACTTAACCATTGACACACAAACCATGGGCAGAGCGGTCCTTTATCGTTTTTCCCTGCGCTATCCCCAGGCCTGCAGCAGAGCGCCCCCCAGGAGCACCACATTGAGCGCTCACTCTGGCACCACATTGGGCACCCTCATCCGCCCGAAGAGTTGAGTACTTCAAGACACACGCAAACAACTTCAAAAGAGGAAAGCCTCCAAAAATTTAGGTAAAATACAACTATACTCTACCACCACCCCATGCGCAGCCCACAAGGCTGGCCTCCGGAGCGGCATACTAGCAAGAAGATCGCTGCAAGATAGATGCAGCAAACATCGAACTTGCTCAATTGAGCTTGTAACAAATTGTGAGAGAAGCGATTCCACCAGCGACTATTCTGATCCGACTTGCATGTCAGCGAGACTGCCAGCCCTCTTCTATAGATGCAATCGCCACAATTGCAAGCAGACCCTACATAGACCTCAAAAACCCTAGACCCTATAGAGCCTAGACCATAGACCCTCCAGACCCTGGCTTAAACCCTAGACTTTAAATCCTAGACCCTAGACCTTAGACCGAAGCCAGACCCTAGGTTCTAAGCCCTAGATTCTAGACTCTTAGACCCCAAACCTCAGACCAGCGGGACCCTAGACCCTAGACCCTGAGTTGTGACATCTAGAGTCTAGCAAAAAACCCGAGCAAATAATGATCCAGAATTAAAACATTGATTGCATGCGCCTGAAGGGTACTCTGCGGTCCTTCTTGTGTGATTGACGAAGAAGCAGTTGCCATGATCCAAGGCAGAATTGACTTCTATTTCATGGCTCATTTGAGGCGACAAGTCTCCTACAAGGTTAGTTGAAAGTGGAGGAACCTTCCCCGGCAACAGACCTTCATGATGGGCGAGCTTTTTTTAACCAGGATCATTTCAAAAGCTTGTTGCAAAGGATCAGGAATTGCAGCTCATCCACCTGTGTTTGCTCCTTTCCCTGCGGCTCCTGTCGAGCTGCCTCGTGGATGGTGGGAAACCACAGCGACTCGCCCCACCTGAGCTGCAACCAGTGGCTCTCTCATATCATGTTACTCACCTTTGTCAGCATCCAGCCTTCTCAACTTCCACAAGCTGGCACATGTTGTTTTCTTGGTTTAAAGAACAAACATACATATACAGCATCATGTGCATCATTCAGGCCTTGTCTTTGTTTGAGGAGAAGAATGATATAGGTACAGCCGTGAGCGCTCATACGCACACCCAGGTTGCTGCTCAAGTCTGACTATGGCCGTTCTATGCACGTAGGCTAAACCTGTTGAAAGGGCAAATTCAGCTGGCAAAGGATAGGCGCCGCGGGCATCGACCAATTTCTGCCACGGGGCTTGTTGAAGGGACCAAAGTTGCCTCAGCCGGCTGACGCATGTGGCGTGGATGCGCGCCATCAGTTTTTGTTGACCCATGTTTTTGGAAACACGTCCCCTTCCAAACGTGAAAGGCCTGGAGATATGCCGTGTGGGGGCGCAAGCTGGCAGCCTGAACATGCAACTGAAGGGACGGAACTTATGTCTGCTTTGGAATGCTGCCCAACCCAAAAAAAAAGTTCCCTGCCTTGCATTGGAAACCATCCAGCCAGCTTCAAGGTCTTGATCCTGCATCCGATGGTCGTGACTCAAGCTGCTCAACGAGTCACCTTCATAGTCGCCACCAAAGCTTCCTTGCCATAAAAACAAATTGCCGAAAAGCACAAGGTTTGGGTCCGGGCCCACACGCAGTCCTAACAGCACACGTGTTGAGATCCAACTTCCCTTCAGTTGCCTTCTTGCAGGTTAACATGCTAACGTTCAGCGGGACCGCAAAGAAAATAAGTAGGGTCGCGACGACCAGGGACCTAAACGGTAAGATGGCCGGCTTGTATTCCGGCAATGGCACCCTTGGATACTTTTGGTGCCATGTTTGTGCGTGCAGGAGCGCCACCCCACGGGAGACATCCCAATCACCCTCAATCGAGCAGCAGCCTGCGGCGATGACGCAATAGTCAAAGCACCTAGGCCAGGAAACCGTCAAAGGGCTCTTTTGCCTTGGAAGCCAAAAAGTAAGATGTTTAGACTACCCCAAAAGGGAAACATAAGGAACCTCAACCCATGTCTGCACTGCACTGTGGCAACGCTCAAACCACAACTCCGTCAACGGGTGAGTTCACTTCAACTCGGTAGTGAAACAACTGCACAATGCCTCGCCATCTGAAAATGCCATTTGTGTGCGCTGCCCACTTTGTCCGGCCTCTTATTCTGATAAGAACACCACGACACCACCATGCCGCAGCGCAGCGGTAGTGCCACTGAAACATGAAGGTAAGAATCGAATGCACATATACATCATACATGCAACTAATCTCTATGCGTGCATTCAGTGAGTTGACTCCCCTTTGCCACTGGCAAAGGCAACCATCACAAGAATAGCTAAAACGGATAGGCAACACAGGTCAACCAACATCTTACTTGCCCAAAGGGAGAAAACAAGTGGTTAAATATGGCTTCATCGCAACCAAGGCCACGACAAGTGGAAGAGCAGAGTCATGGAGTCATGGGAACACAAGGTCGCCCGGGGCTTCAAGCGGGATATGTTCCGAAAACCAGATTTTGAGGTGGGAAATCGCAGAGTTGGTCCTGTCCTGTGTCAACCTCGCCCCTTTTTTTCAATCGATGCCACATGCGCTCTGACAGCACAAATGAAGAACGCCGTACTCGTGGACTTTGTGGAAACGGGTCTGGATCCTGCACGTCCGAATTGGGCCGCTTCTTTCAAGACAAGAAGGTGATCCTGCTAAGATGTCACACGTTCAACTCCCGAATCATGTCATGTCCATTTCCCCCTCCCCTCCCAGCACCCCGCGATGCAGCAGTCCTCGCAGACGAAAAGATTAGATTCGTTCACTCAGGCTGCAACTTGGGGAAGGACACATGTGAACATCCCGGGTGACTAGGCTCGGTGATCAGAAACTGCACTCCGTCTCATGCACTGGAAACGTTGACGAGGAAGTCACCGACTCTACTTGAAAGGCTCCCGTGCGGTTCCGTGCTCATGTTGAGGCGTGAGCATATCGCCCTCTGCTTTTCTGGGATCCAGTGGACGGATCTGGGCAACCACCTGGCCATTCTCCTTAGCGGATCCATATCACAAAGCGCCACCATGATCCTCAAGCCCTTGTGTTCACCCGCCTTGCGCGGGGATTCTGCTGTTGAAACGGCCGGAAATACAAAACTCACAGGCTACGTGCCTCCCACAACGGGACATGAAAGTTCCTTCGTCAACCTTTCCTAGAGCCGTTTTTCCCTTCAGCTTCAGACCCCATGACCGCAGCATGGTGAATTTTCATGTTCCTCACAAGGTAACTTCCCAGTCAGCGCTGCCATGCAGTCAGGCTGCAAACTCGAGCTTCTTCACCTCACCTGACGCGAACTGCACAAGCCCTGTGGGCTATTGTGTCGCAAGCCCTCAGGCAAACCAAATTGGTCGCAAAGACGGCCTCATGCCGCTGAAGCGGTGCGCTTCTGTGGGCGCCAAGGTCCCAGGGAAAACGCATGGCCGACGCCGTCGCTATTTCTCGCGCTGGTCGCATGGCCCGTTTAGCGAGTTCCATGGGCTTGAGCCCATGCACCTCAGTGCCGCCTCGCAGACTTGGAACCAAAGGACGCCGCGAGCGAAGAGCGATGAAGAAAGCAGAGGCTTCAAGAAAACAAGCTCACCTAGATGAATCCAGCTTGCCCGATCTCAGGTGCCCAACGAGTTGTGCAGCCAAGGGTTCGTGACTTGTGTCCTTGGAAGACTCAGCTGGGGGGGGGGTTGGTACTTCTGCTGCATTTCCTCGCCAAAACCATACACTTTCGGAGGGCACTTGAAGGCTGTGCGGGATTTCACCCAGCGACGCAGGAATTCAGTCCAAGAAACCTCTGGTTGGAGATCTAAAAACAAACAAATTGCTCTCCCCGCTTTGGGCTTTGGAGAAGGTTTTGAGAAGCAGTCAGTTTTGCTTTGGAGCGGGGCTCCCTACCAAAAAACCTGATGTTTGTTTTCCGTGACGTTTGCGTGCTCGCACCAACATTGAACAAAGACACCAATGCGGCAGATTAGGGCAAACCCCTTTTCTAACATGTTGCTGCAACCTCCTTCATCCTGAGCCTAGTCAATGGCACCGGTTCATTCTTTAAACCTCTTCTTGGAATTCACTTTAACGGGAACTGCCGGGACCTCTTCGCCAGGAGGGACTTTTTGCCATCTTTTGTGAGAAAACTGGCGACCCCCCCAACAAGGAATCCTTCACTACGAGGGAGTCGATCATTTTTCCACGAAGGCTGGCAAAAAGACCCTGCTCTTCGCTGCGAATGCACAGAAAGGAATTCGCCTGCCAGGAAGGTCACGGCCATCTTGGTCATCACCGGCTCTAGGCAGAAGCTGAGCGACTCGAAATGCGAAGGCCGCCTCGACGTGGCAAACCATCTGACTGGCGCTGAATTCATGGGCTGCTACATCCACAGTCCTCAATAAAACACGATTTACAGCCAGAGGGACCCCTTGCGTAAAGGGAAGGGTTGAACATGTGCTTTACAACTGCAACCGGATGTGTTCTACTAAGGCCTACGCAACTCTCCAATTCCCGCAAAAAAGCTAAGTTTTGTCGCAGCTTGTTTCTCACCAAAACTTCAAACAAAAAAACAACCAGGCCACTGGGGCTGAAATGCGAAACGGCTACATTTGGGCTTCAGTGATTGAAACTCGATTCTGCCAGGGCCTTGTTGCCAAAGGGTTCGCCGCAGGCAAGGAACACAGGCGTCATAGATGCCCCAAATCATGGGCAGGATGGGTGGGCTCGTTGCAAGCTGTTGGCGGGGTTCATTCTTGATTCGGGAGAAATATATGTTACAACCAACATTGCTCGGAAAGGCCGGCGTTGGTCGTTCTGTGTGCTTCTGTTGGAGGTACGTTTGCTTCTGATAGGGTCGGCTCAAGATTGCGCAGTTCAGATTTGGCATACACGGTGAGACGTATGTGCTCCATGCAGGTGGGCAAAAAGCTTAGTCTTTGAGTCTTTGCACTGCACGAAGCCCTGGCGTTTATGCCGTTCATGCATGACCGCGTTTGTACCTTTTTCCTTGCCCGCATGGTGGAATCAAACAAGCTCTGGCCCTTGAACAACCATGGTAAGTTTAAACCCGCAGATTTCTGCACAAGGGCACGAGGCTGCGCGATTCACGCAATCCCAGTCCAGCTCTTCATGTGAATCCCCAGCCCCAAGGCAAAACCGCCAGGCTTTCCGGGCGGCTTGGACATGGCCAAACAGACCGACGATCCCGACATCGGACCGGGGCACACAAAAGCACGGAGGATGCCCGGCGTGAACTCCATAAACTCCTCACGTGAGAGCCATCACGGTTGAAGTCTGAGAGGTTAGCTGGAAGGAGCAACCAGGTTGGAGGACAATGCCCGACTCACGGGAAAGAAGGGCCAGGAGCTTTCAATAGCTGCTCCCTCAAAAACAGTTCTGACTTAAGTACAACACATCCAACATCTACATGCTTACCGGAAGAAAGGCCCCGTCACCTTTTTGCAGCCGCAAATGAGAAGAACCAACGCAAAACCGACAGCAAGCTCAAGGCACCAAGCGACGGGATAAGTAAAGACGGCACAGTAGAAATATGGCAGCAGGAAAAGGACGAAACCCAAAACAATCAACCCCCCTTTTCGGTTGTCAAGAGGCATCAGGCTGAAGGGATAACACAACATATTCCACTTGTTTGCGCGCTGCCCAGCCTAACTTGAACACATTGCTAGTTGACTAGTTGTAAGCTGATCCCATCCCAATCATAATGATCATTGCACATCAGGTCTGCAGTGAACCCAATCGGGGTGAATCACCAAGGATGAAGGCTCTTTTGCTAGGATCTGTCTTCTGTCCAGTTGTGAATTAGGTGATTGTCCCAAGAAATATCCTAGACATATTTGCCCTTGGCTGCTCTCCACCGCAAAGCCGGGCAAATCACCAAACGGCTCGCAGCGCACACCTTTGAGGTTTGGGGCTCCATCTGACGAAGCTCGCCTTGGCATCCACCAGAGTGATCTCGAAGTCTCGCCTGCGCAGCCCGCAGGAAAAAGAAAACATCTAGAGATTGCAGACTTCAGCCCAAGCGCCATTGAACGTCACGGAAGCTGCCTGTCAAACATTTCACTGCGAGGCAAAGGGCAGTTGATGTTTGCAGGGCATCATTCAGCTATGAGGTGACAAGGCACTGTGCTATGCTTCGGCATGGTACTGAATATGGCACGCTTTGCTGAACGCTCATGCAAATGAAACCTGCAAGGCCTTCCAAAATACAAGAAAACACATCGGTGCAGCGAGCCCTTTTTGTTATATACATTGACACATCACATATGCCATCATATGCATACATGGGAATGTATGCCAGGTCAGCATCTCTGAAACAATTTTCTTGCATACGTGCCTGCATGACAATGCAGGAATGTGCACATGCAACCGCGTATGTGATGCTCATGTACGGCTGGCCTCAGCTCACGGCAGCAAAAGGTGCCTGAAAACCTGAGCGGCCAGGGTAGAATTCAAGTGGGATTCCCATCCACGTTGTCCATGCACATGTCACTCTGGTGTCTGCCATGGTGGAAAAATGCCAGAACCTCAATTCCCATAGCTTCGGCTTCTGGAAACCAGCAACATGGCTTTCCAAAACAGGGGTGGCCGTCAGTGACAGGCAGGCAACCCTGCAACGCAGCATCCAAAGCACACCACAGGGGTCAATGGCATCATTGGGGTGAACAAGACCTTGGGCAGGCCTTCGGCCAATGGCTTCAACGGGCAAGTTGCAAACAGCAAGATGGGCCTCATTTTGATTGGCAGACAATCAATGGATTATGACACAAATTGGAACTCTCTGTAATAGACCGTTTTCCGTCTCGGGGTGGGTCCTGATGGCTCATGGCGAAGAAAGCAGGAATGAAGCAGATGGTCACAAGAAGCAGCAGAACGAATCGTTGGGCAAACGATGCGACGCGAGCCCGCGCAAGGCCGGGAATGTCAAGAATGTTTTGGGGCCCAAATGGTTTGGCTGCGTCCGGATGATGCAGGGAATGCTGAGGAGGAGTTTGGTGCCAACAAAGCCTGTCAACCGTATGCTGTACGGGTAGCGTTGTCTCGCTCTGCGAGCTCGAAGACACACACGCCAGGACATGTTTTGCAATTTCCCCAGTTTACAATACAAACACCCTCAGAAAATCTTCGGATGTAGCTAATTAGCCTTGCTGTCCACTTTTGAGCTGGCTGCGTCCAAGCCGCTGCCCGCCGATCACCAGCAGCCGCGGCTTGCTCCCTCGTAGTAGAGGCGCCTCATACCTCTAGATTCCAGAGGCGCTGCTCCCGCCCCCCAAGATGTGTGGGAAAGCAGGGGGTAAATCCGCCGACGCTTGCTTCTCCAGCTGGACACACTCAAACTTGAAGGCAATGGCACCCCAGCATTCCCTAAGCTTCCTTTGAACCATTCTTACCCTGCCCCACCCTGCCTGCCACTCATTACGGAGAGGCGGCCGCAGGAAAATAGGAGGCAAGCGGGCCGCGAAAATGGCAGGCGAAAATGACCAAGTGGTCAGACAGCTCCTGACTTTGACTCTGAGAGGCCTCTCTGTCACTCTCATGCTTGGCAGGTCTTCAACACATGGGACCGCATGCCGGGTGGACTCAAGAATCGCACTCTGTCTGCGTTGTCTGTTCCTACGTAAGAGCTGCAGCTTTGAGCCTGCATGGCATGGCGCGTGAACCGCACGTCCGCACGTGTCGTGAGACAAATGCGTCCCATGCTTCCCAAACCGAACAGACCAGCAACTGGCCGAAAGGAGCTGGAAACAAATGGCCGGCCATGACCAACAGTTGCAACGGAAAGCCCAAAGGTCAAAGAGCTGCCTTGGGCAACTGGGGCCTTCTGCCAAAAAGAAGGCGGCTGGCCCTTCGCCACTGGACTTCCCAAAGGCCTTGCCATGTGAAAAAAGCTTTGAGTTTGACAAGCACGTACCTTTATGTTTGTGGCACATGTAGAACTACTTCAGCTCCCAAGCAGTTGCGCACATCCTCCCTGAACACCCAATTCCTGGCCTGACATGTCGGCCATGCACCGGCAAGGCTGTCACATTTAGGGCAAGAGCTGTTGATTGAGAATGAATTCATTGCTGGTCCGCCTCATCGGAGGAATCCCCCCAAATAGGAATAGGTCATGTGGAAATGACGTCCGGCCTTCTAAAGGATTGGACATCCCAAAAACAAGTTAGCTTCGCCCACTTGTGTCAGAAAGCTTGAAGAGATCAGCACCTCACCTGACAGCGGCGCATGCAAAGGTTTGCTTTTGTTGGGGGAATGCATGCCTGCTGATTGCATTTATTTTCTGTACCACTTTGGGCCTCCTTGTGAGCCAAAAGCAGGTGCTTCCTCGCTTGGCTCAAGCGGATCCAATTCATGCCTCCACTTGACAATCCTGAGGGGAGCATGCGTGGGAGAGTGGGAGACACATTGGTTACAAATGCCGAAGGCACGACGCAACTCCCATCATGACCTACCTTACCCAGCAAACATGGACCAAGTGTGTTGAAAACACCAGGGCGCGCAAGGGCAGCCATGTTGAACGTTCCCTCTGCAACAGGGAACTTGATGGAACATGCAAAATTACACAATCGGGTCACTGAACAACCGAGAATACCTTGGACCCTCACCAGCTCAGCTGAGAAACCCAGCATCCAGCTTTAGGAAGTTGGCAGGAACCCTGATACTTCAGGTTGGCTCAAAGCCAGGTGGGCGTCCCAAGCCCTTTGAGCTTTCCCCGGCTCGGGCACTGCTTCCTTTTGCACGCCTCGCCGGTTCCCTCGGATTCCTGGCCGGTTCGGCACGCAGTGTGAGTGGCTTAGATGCACCCAAGGGGCACGCAGCAACAAAGCTTAGGGCCGAGGAAACTTGCAGCACTAACAGCAAAACACCTGCTATGGTGCTCCGCGCTTGCAGCATCAACCTGCCAATCTTCACAAGCATGGTGTGGCGTGTGCCTTATGGCAAGCGCGTGAAGGTCACGCAAACGCAATGGGAGCCAGATATTAGCCACCCACGCCGCACAACAGGAGTGCGACCTTCTGAGAGAACGCTTGAGGGGCGTTCATTCCCGTGGGCAGCAACCCGTGCTTGGGCACTGCCACGCAAAGTGATCTCAAAACAGGAACGTTTTTAAACACGCCCACCTGCCGGTACCTGCCGGAAAATGAAGGAACGTGCCTGGAACTCATGTCAAAGCTTGGCGGGACAGGCGGCGTGATCTCAAAGTCACACACTCGGAACTGCCCCATGCTTGATGCAGCCTGTGGCATGATGTTTGCGTCTGTCTGCGAAAATGTGGATGCGGCTTTTGGGGAAGAGGGAATGTTGGCTAAACCGGTGCGCAAGAACATACACCTCGCACATTCACATCCTTTCTTGGGTGAAGCCTGCTCACTAAAAACAATGCCGGGGTCGGAGCGGGTTCCATGTTGTATACCCGAGCCTGAGCTCGGAACCCTGCATGCAACCCAATGTGCACATGGAGGCCAACGGCGACGGGGACGTGTGCCTGCGCCGGCCAGTCATTGGGCACGTGCCACTGGGTTTTCTGCGTGTCCTCGGAAGGAACTGCCAAACGAAGCCCACTTCAGCTTCAACCAAAGGACCCGCAGACAAATTTCGAAGCGCCACTTGGTGCTAAGAACCCGGAAATATCATGCTAAACATTTCAAGCTTGACTAAACATAGGTTGTCATGTGGTCTTACCAGCGTGTTTGCGGCAGGATGTCTTAAAGTTACAATCGAGAAGGCAATGGCTTGCCATGACCACTCAAAAGCCAGAAGCTGCGGACAGCCAAGCTCCCAAAACCAATCAGCCATCCCAGTTGAAGATAGCTGGACACCCCATGAAAATACCGGAGCTTTGGAGATTCATTGGGGGCAAGGCTAGTTAAGTTCCCTTGTCCAAAGGAAATGGAAATACATGTCATTGGGGGCTGACGAAAAGGCAACCAAACTCAAAGGTCGCGAAAGACAGGTAAGGAAAGAAAGACCGGCTTTGTGCGAATGAGAAAAGGGGGCCCAAGTTGGGAGGTCTGTGATAAGTAGCGGCCTGCAAATATTCAAACCCCCTTGCGTTCGCCTGGGGAAATTCCGCAGCAGTTGAGCACCCAATGCATATGGTTCCCGAGATTGGTTGGAAGTCTCCTGCGGCCCCTTCCCCAGCAACTTGGCAAGCGGCGTTGTTGTAGAAGTACCTGCGGCAGCAAGTGAGCAACCATGGTTGGTGGGAAATTGAACAGCATGTACAGCCCTCAAGCAGCGGAGAACAAAGGAGAATACAAAGGTTCGAACACATTTGCCAAGAGGCCAACACACCTTGCCAGAGACAAATAGCCACTGCGGTAGGCCGGGGCATCAAATACGTATCCATAGGCTATACACAACATCCTCGGATTTCCTCAGCTTTGCCCCACATGATGGCCCATATTCAGAATGCAAGGTAACGAGGACACATGTCAAGTTCCAGAAATGGCAGGACCCAAAAACAAGTGTAAGATCAAATGTCTAAATGTCAAGAGACAGGAACATGACACAAACAAACGTAGGAAAATGGGTCTGTTTGCGTAGGCTCGCTCATCCGCAAAAGCCGCCTGCGACCGCCTGCGAAGTGCTCCTCCCATGGGCCCAGCGTGCGCACCGGCTCCTGGGAAAAAAAGGGCTGTACGAAACTTAGCACCCCCCGTTTGTGTACCATTCTCACATTATGGTGTGAAAAACTTAGCAAAAGATTCTGCAGTTCCTAGACTGTGGTACGCCACATTGTGTATTTTTTTTGCAGTGGCGAAGGGGTTGAAGAGAGGCAAGAGTTCAAGGTGGATAATTCCCTGATTGAGTGCTCATTCAGTGGCCCCACTCATTTTTCCATAAGCAAAGAACGGCGCGGCACATAGCATATTTCGGTTTTTCGCCTAACCATGGTGAATGCACATGTTGTCAAGGGGCAACCTCAGATTGAATATAGAAAGGCCCTCACAGGAGTGGTGTTCAAGGGCGCCCACCCCCGAAACAATATGTGGAAAAACCCGCAAATCCAACTAGGGCATGCAGAAGCGAACAGAATAGGGACTGAATACGACGCACCCTTTCGGGAGGATGACACACAATGTCAGTCTAGGCCGGCCCTAAATACAAAAGAGCAACCGCGTCCCGCCCACAACTTGCGCCTCTCTCTCATCTAGCCCTATCGGAAATGCCAGACAAGAAACTCCAGGGCCAGCCCCTCCCCGACAACCCGCCTGGCGCGAAAGATGTCTGCGAGAAATCAGCAATTACAAATCCAGCTTGGGCTTTCTGTTGGAAAAATGACATTGGCTAATTGCACCCATTCCACTGAGGGGCCAGAACGTGACCCATCCCGCCGCTCCAGGCGCCGGCGCCGGCGGGAGTCCAGGAAACGGCCCAGAAGCTGCTCCTCAAGAAGCAGAAGTCTGAAGTAGACGCAGAAATAGTGATGAAAGACGTAGCACTCACAATAGTCGTAGAAATGGTAGTAGTAGTAGTTGTTGTAGTAGAAGTAGTAGTAATGGTAGTAGTAGCAGTAGTAGTAGTAGTAGTAGTAGTAGTAGGAGTAGTAGTAGTAGAAGCAATAGTAGTAACAGTTGCAGTAGTTGCGATGGTTGCAGTAGTCGCAGTAGCCGCAGTACTCGCAGTAGTAGTAGTAGTAGTAGTAGTAGTAGTAGTAGTAGTAGTAGTAGTAGTAGTAGTAGCAATGGTAGTAGCAGTTGCAGTAGTCGCAGTGGTCGCAGTAGCCGCAGTCGCATAGCCGCCGTAGTCGCAGTAGCAGAAGCAGTAGTAGTAGAGTAGCAGTTGCAGTAGTCGCAGTAATCGCAGTGGTCGCAGTGGTCGCAGTGGTCGCAGTAGTTGCAGTAGTCGTAGCCGTAGCCGTGGCCGTCCCGTGGCCGTGGCCGTGGCCGTGGCCGTGGCCGTGGCCGTGGCCGTGGCCGTGGCCGTGGCCGTAGCCGTAGCCGTAGCCGTAGCCGTAGCCGTAGCCGTAGCCGTAGCCGTAGCCGTTGTTGTTGTTGTTGTTGTTGTTGTTGTTGTTGTTGTTGTTGTTGTTGTTGTTGTTGTTGTTGTTGTTGTTGTTGTTGTTGTTGTTGTTGTTGTTGTTGTTGTTGTTGTTGTTGTTGTTGTTGTTGTTGTTGTTGTTGTTTGTTGTTGTTGTTGTTGTTGTTGTTGTTGTTGTTGTTGTTGTTGTTGTTGTTGTTGTTGTTGTTGTTGTTGTTGTTGTTGTTGTTGTTGTTGTTGTTGTTGTTGTTGTTGTTGTTGTTGTTGTTGTTGTTGTTGTTGTTGTTGTTGTTGTTGTTGTTGTTGTTGTTGTTGTTGTTGTTGTTGTTGTTGTTGTTGTTGTTGTTGTTGTTGTTGCTCCCATTTGTTTGTTTCGCCGCCGTGGAAGGTTTGCAACATTTTCAAGCTCTTGCGCGTCATGTCAGCACTGCGCACATGCTCAGCACCTGATAGGCACACCCGCTCGCCTCCTGTCGGGGTACGAATCGCCATTCATGTGTGGCGGTATCGTACCGACTCCGGCATTCGGTCTTGAGTGGTGCACGAAGCGAAGCCAAGCAAGGAGGCCGCCGTGCATCGTGGAGTCGCTGTGCGCATAGTTGCAGGAGTCGCCACGGTCGCAGTTCGAAGGCATCAGGGTGGTGGCCGCGTTGTCGAAGGTGCCGGTAGCAAATGTTGTCCCGGGGAGCCCATCTCCCCGAGACAAACTCCGGATGGAGGTAGCCGCACGTGAAGTCGGAGGTTGGCGTGCGACCCTTACAACTGGAGAGTTGCACGAAGTGCGTGCATACCTGGTTGCCCAGGAGGATGTTGCCCACGCTAACGGCCCCGGGCAAGGTGGCGAGGTAGGCCTGGAGGGCATGGTACAAGCGCTCATAGTCAGGCGCAACCTCGGTCATCGCCATGAGCTGGGAATGCTGCAGGACGCCGATGAAGCAAGAGGGTGCAGTCATGGCGGAAGGTCCCGGGCGGTCAGGTCTTGGAAAATGAAAAAGGTCTATTCACCAGAAAATGGCAACCGGTGTGAATGCGCTAGAATTAGTCGTAGTAGCAATAGCAAAAGCAGTAGTAGTAGCAGCAGCAGCTGTAGTAGTAATGGCAGCGGCAGTAGCCGTGTAGTAGTAGTAGTCGTCGTAGTAGTAGTAGTAGTAGTAGTAAAGCAGTAGCAGCAGAAAGCAGTACCAGCAGCGGCAGCTGTGGCGGGGGGAAGTGGTGGTGGTGGTAGCAGTAGTAGTAGCAGGAGTAGCCGTAGTAGTAGTAGTAGTAGTAGTAGAAGAAGCACAAGTAAATGTTCAAAAGGACAGGAAGACTTACTCACATCATGACATTTGGTTTAACTGCAATTGTTATCCTGAACGCTTTGCAGCGGTGATTTATGCCTGGCTTGTGGAGTACTTGGCAAGGCTTTGCATTGGCCAATCCCGTCAGGACCTAACGCCAGTCACACACAGTTCAAGGCCTATCTGCTTTCGATGCAATTGGTTCTTCGCTTTGTCACGCTACTTGTTGCGTGGTATTGCTGGGCCGGTGTGCTTTGAATGTCTGCTTCCTAGCCGACTCCACAAAGTCGAATCTGGAACCTGGAGCACAATACCAACACATTGCTTACACATCGTTTTACCAATCCGTTTCAACCCACGATTGAAATTCCAACATGTTGCAAACATGTCCTCAAGAATATCAACACTTAGTTGAACAACATGCTTGAAGGGGAAATCATGGGCATAGTCACACAGTGAGTGAGGCGTGGCCAACTCAAGCGCGCTTTTTGGAGTTGCTACAATAAGGGAAACATATTCGAGGTTTACACAATTTGGAGCTCAGCCATTGCGGCATGAGTTTTCCTGCTATAGGGCTCCAGTGTGTTCAAAAAGCAAGCCAAATCAAATCACTTGGCCAGAATGCAAACAAGCTCCTGAACTGCTAGCATGCGCAAATCAAAACCTTGCGGTCAACCGACGAACACAACCCGCGCGCTCTGCATTTTAGAGCCAAATGATGGGTATGGTTTTGGGGCCGTCTCACACTCCCAGGCGTCAAGGAAATGTTGGATTCCACCGGCCGCGTCAACGGTTGGCATCTTGGCTTTTTGCGCAAGGATGTGAATAGCCTTGTTTCGATTTACTGAGTGCTTCTGTTGCAGTTGGGCCGTTCAAGGCCACAAGAGGGGTCAAATGAACAGGGGTAGGGGCAGCCACGGAGCCTGAATCGGCACAAGTGTCAGTGGATGGCACTTGCTACAACCCATGCCTGTTGACAACTTGTCCAAACAGTCAATGGACTAAGGTACTCTGAGTTGATCTTGACAAGCCTATCCAGAAGGAGCGTACATGGCGATTTCCAAGTTTCAAGGCGAAATTGCGGATGGTCACTTCGGAAAGGAAGATCCCTCCCTTTCGTCTAGGTGAGTTGGTACCCAACCGAAAGGGGTTTCTGTTGACAAGATGTGTCGCAACCCGTGATGCCGTTTGCATGGGGGCTTGTTTTCCAAGAGCGCAAGCTAACCAATCAAATGGCACTTCCCTTTTTCAAGCCCCGTAAATCGTTCTTCCAACCTGCAAACTCCATCTCGCCTGGCCCTGCGCTAGATTCGCCAGATGCCAACTGACCGTTCGGGCAGCAGAAAGGTGTGCCCCACGCACAGCCGCAAATGTAACATGCCATTTCAGCTTGCAAACCGAAGCGTACACATGAAACATGCCAAGAATCTGACTCAGACTGGCCAAAGGTTTGAAAACAAATTCATCCACTTCCCCCATCCCCCGATCTGGCAAATACCCATTCTCCAAGCTTCAGGGGGCTGGCTGACACTACACGCTCTAGAAACACCTGTGGCTGCACGTGGCACTGGGAAAGGGGAAGGTCGAAACTGACACCGTTAAAGAGACGGTTGAGACAAAGGTTAAAAGCTCTTCTCCGTGCAGGCCTCATGAGCTGCTAACACGGAAACTCGATACTGCTGGGCGAACTGGAATTTCGCGCGCGCTCAAGCATTGTCTGCTCTTGACTTCATCGTACACTCCTTGAGCAACAAGGAGTCAAAATGAATAAAACATATCTTTTTCAAATGCCCTGGTCAAAACAAAGCTGGTAGTCATGGTCATCGGTCCTGGAAAAAACAATGGCTGTCACCCTAAAGGGTTGACCCCTGAAAACCGCAAATCAAGTCAGACAAATGCTAGATCCTAAGCCGGAGCCAGCAATATTGCGAGTTTCGTGGACCATCCTGGACCATCTCTCCATTTTTCCGCTTGGAAGGTATTGGGAAGCAGACGCCTCGAATGGTCGACTGACGGCTTCGGGGATCGCTGTCAGGGATCCCAATGGAACTCCTCGCTCCGATTTGCGGAGCGGTTCCCAATGTTCGTGGACACTCGTGGCGACATGGCAGGAGTGTAAACGCAAGGGCGTAAGACGCAAAGACAAATCTTCAAATGGCCGCTTGTTAGAGAAAAGGAACGCCTCTCCTTGCCACGTGCAATTCGGTCTGGAAAGTTGCGGGATCACAACGCATTTGAGTGATCTCTTGACAAGACAGATCCTGTTAATTTGGCCGACAAACATTGAACTCACAGACCGGATCCGTTTCACAAAGTCCAGTGAGTATCGCGAGACACGAAGACGGGCTAAGACTTTCTTAGCCGCTCTAGCCATCTTTGTTCTGCCTCAACTTGGCAGCACCCCTCCAAACGGGGGGCTTGCCTTCTTCGTTCCCCTTTCAAGCCCTTCGCCGTACAACCGGAACACTTGGACACTGCACAGCCCGGAATTCTTCACGTCAATAGCAATTCTAAGGGGATTGGCCGTGGGCTACGTGTTCAAGATGGCCAGGTCACCTCTGCGAAACTCAGCTCAGCCAGAGGCAGGGAAGTTCGGAAGCGCGGGATAACGATCGCCTCGGGCGGCGAGTAAACCAGCGTGTCCGCTTCCCAAAAAGAGCCACAACTGTTGCAGGTGAAAAGGCAAACACTTCAGCGGAGCCCAAAGGGCACACCACAGTTTCATGGTGTTCTCCGTACGCTTTCCCCTTCGAGCAACCCCAGCGCAACTCTCACACATAACTATCAGATGTTCCTGCCTCAGAAGTGCAGCCCGGGAATGTTGACGAAACAATTTGCCAAAAACGCAAAAGACACGAATCCGGGAACTCAATCATCGCCTAGCCATGAATGCCACCTGGGTTTGGGGAAAGCATCATCGAAGCAAAAGCACCGCTGCCACCAAGTTCGGAACATACGCCCGGAACTGGCCGCACGAAGCAAAACAAGTTTTCCGCCCAGACTGGAGCTAAATCCCCCCGCATCCTCCAGACTTGGAAGGACTCGCAGGTGTTGGGTTTCGCTTTCCATTTTCACCAGTCACGAATGTGCGTTTTGGACCTGGTGCCTTTCAGATTCCGGTGAAACG